GAATAATATCCTAATCGATGTTATTCTAGCTACCGGTGCATAAGTATCAAAATAGTTGATTCCTTACTTTTGTCGATATCTTTTGGCTACTAATCCAGCCTCGAAGGTATTTAAGGATCAATCAACATTGTATTTTCTCCTAAATACCCATTTGCATCCAATAGGCTTGAATCCCGGTGGTAAATCAACAAGTTCTCAAGTATTATTAGACATTATCGAATCCATTTCGTCATTAATTGCATCTTTCCAAAAGGTGCTATCACAAGAAGCCATAGCTTTTTTATAAGTCTTAGGGTCAGTTTTTACTTGTAGAACAAAAGGAATTGTTCTCACAACATTCAACTAATTTTCCTCTACTAAGTAAAAGGAGATAAGTTGAGAATCGATTTCATCCGATCCCAAAGACTTCTCAACTCGAGTTCTCTTGCTTCTTTGTGGTTCACTAGATTCATCAACATCCTTAGAAGATATTTCATCATATGTTCCACTTGAGTTAGGGATATTTTCAAGATTTTCCCTCAATTCATTATTCGAAGATAAAGAATCCTCAAAGAACTCTACATCGTTGGATTCGATAATCACATTGGACTCCAAATTTAGTAATCTATAAGATTTGCTATTATTTGCATATCCAACAAAGGCACATTTAATGCCTCTTGGACCCAATTTGGTCCTATTAGGATTCGTGTTCTTGTAATAGGCGAGACAGCCCCACACTTTGAAGTATCCAATGTTCGATTTTCTTCCTTTCCACAATTCATAAGGAGAAACCTTAGTATATTTTGAAGGAATCCTATTAAGTATTCTACATGCACTTAATAAAGCTTCACCTCCACAAGTTAAACGGCAACTTAGCATGAATAAGCATGGCATTTATCATTTCTACAAATGTTCTAATTTTTCTTTTAGTTAAGCCGTTTTGTTCGGGTGTTCTAGGTACAGAACATTGATGAATAATTCCATGTTGTTTACAAAACAAATTAAAATCATTGGAAAAGTATTCACCACCTTTATCACTCCTTAAATTTTTAATTTTCTTTCCTAGATAATTTTCAACATCATTCTTGTATGTCTTAAACATGTCAAAAGCTTCACTTTTATGTTTTATCAAATAAACATAAGTGTATCTAGAAAAGTCATCTATAAAAGTTATAAAATAGTTATTTTCACCTCTAGTTAACATACCATTAAGCTCACATATATCAGTATGAATTAATTCCAAACTACTAGATGTTCTCTTAACACTTTGATATGATTTTTTAATCATTTTAGATTCTACACATATTTTGCATTTATGTTCATCATATGAGATCAAGACATATTTTTTCATGTGTTTCATTGTATTTTTACCAACATGACATAATCTAGCATGCCATAATGAAAATAAATTCACAATATAAGCAAATTACTTTTATTCATTTCATTGTCAACGGTACATAATTTGACCATTCCTTCACACGAATAGCCTTTTCCAACAAATTTTTCATTAAGAGATAGTACAAGTTTGCCAGACTCATAAACACATTTGATGCCCGATTTTTCCAAGAGATTGCCACTAACTAGGTTCCTATTCATATCCGGAACATGTAGTACATTAGTTAGAGTAATAATTTTCTCGGAAGTGAAGATAATGTCTACACTTCATTTTCCAAACACCTTGGACTGCATCTCGTTACCCATTTGAATCTCTTGTTCTCCATCCACTTCTTGATAAGTTTTGAACAAAGATTTATCATATGATACATGTATCGTAGCACAAATATTATACCACCACCTGAGAACATTTCCTTTGATTGCGTTTACTTCACTTATGGTGACCACAATTTTGTCATCTTGGATGGAATTCACTTTGGCCTCGAAATTGTTTTGTTTTCAGTGCCTACAATCCTTGACATAGTAACCAGATTTTCCACACACAAAGCAATCTCATTTTGTCTTCTTCTTGGACTAGTTAAAGTTCCTAGAAGGCTTCCTTTTGTCGGATTTTGCCGACAGTTCTATTTTTTCCACAGTATTTGCTTTAGAAGAGCCCTCATGAGAATTTTCAGTTTTATCATGTATTCTTGACTCCTCTTCGATTCGAAGATACTTTTGCAATTGTTCCAAAGAATAATCTTCGAAACTATGCATGATCTTCTTCCGGTATCCTTTCCAAGTTCCGGGAAGTTTGGCAATTATAGCCCCTACTTGAAAGGTCTCTGGTATATCAAGTTTACCGCCCTTAATTTGTTGACAATCACTTGCAACTCATGCACTTGGGGAATAAGAGGGATATTTTCTAAGAATTTAAAATCAAAATACTTAGAAATCAAAAATTTCTTTGTACCTTCTTCTTCCACCTTGTACTTACTTTTCAATGCTTCCCAGATTTCTTTCGCCGAAGTTGTATTGGTGTATAGATCATACAAACGATCCGACAATGCATTCAAGATGTGGCCACGTCAAATCAATTCATCTTCTTGACGTTTTTGTCTCTCGGTCTTGATTGCTTCGGATTCTCCATTCGTTGGTTCCAGCAAAGGCGCCAAATCTGGATCAAGAATATAAAAAATCTTCAACGCTGTTAGGACGAATTTCAACTTGTCTTGCCATAGCGTAAAGTTAGTCCCGTCAAAACGATCCAATCTAATCAGATATTGATTCATGAGTTTGATGGTTGCCATAGTTGTATCATTTTCCATCGCAAATATAGTTTGAGATTGTTGAAAAATAAGGGGTTGGAGAAGAATAAACAACAAAATTATAGAAACAAAATGAATATAAATCACGAAATATGTCAAGAACGAATTTGAGGCTTGAATACGGGATCGTCGTTCTCAAACTATATTTGCCCCCTCTCGGGATTGAATGAGATGCTTAAGGGTTTTGGCAAACGATTTGTAGGATTATATCAAGTCTTCTAAAGGATTTAACACCAAAACACAAGTGTAACCCTCCAAAACTTTAATAACACGAAGGAAGATCTTGAATATGAATGTAATAGTTTGATTCAATATGGAATGATATGTGGATCTCAAGATGTTTTCAATAATTCTAATAATATTTGTATTGATCATTCATTACCTATTTATAGGTCTCAATCAATGCATCACGAAATGGTGCTAAAACAAGATGAAAAGTGGCAACTTTTAATCCAAAACGGCTCTCAAGTTTCAAATTGAAAAATCAGCCAACGGCTATTTTTTAACGTACGCATAGTATAAACCGTGTGTACGCATAGTAGAAGCAAAATTTAATTCTGATTTTACCAAAACACATCTCGCGTATGCACAAAATTAAGCCTGTGCATACGCATAGGCAAAAAATCAAATTTTGCATTTTTCAATTTCTTTTGATTCTATCATTCCACAATTGTGCCCAATAATAAGTCCATTATCATTCCATTGATTTTGAACAAATTTTCAACATATCTTACATGTATTTATTTATTAAATAATTTTGTAATTAAAAGTAAAAACATTTCAAAAATTCTTTCAGTAGGAAACATTTAATTTTCTTCTCTTACTATATATTTATTTGGATAATTTTGAATATATGTCGCATGTAAATTATACTCAAATAGCGGCAGGCGCGGGAGGAAGAAACCTAAGAGACTAAGAGAAGACACCCTTATCTTAGGTCCTTTTTGATCTGAAGTTTGGTTGGTCGGACAAACTGTAAGAATCCCACACCTGGTCCAATGTTTTCGTGATTTCAATTACAGCGATGGAGTCGTTTGGCACCTCGATGTCGACTCATCACAAACCCAAGGTTGAAGAAAGTCACAACGGTTCGGTTGTTCGTTAATTCAAGTGTAAAATCAATCCTATTAGGTAGCTTATCTTCCCTTATAATAGCTAATTAAAATAATCACACTGAATTATATATTCAAAGCCATGGATGTTATTAATAATAGAAAATTTTGAATTGGAATGAAATTATAATTCACTTTATTTATCTCCTTAAAAGTGAAAAAATACATAATCTTACTAGTAAGTAAATTTATTTGTAACTGAATAAGTATTAAAATAAATCACTCATTATATAAACAAATTAAAAATAAGCGAATTGATTATTTTTATTTAATCTTATATTTCATAGGAGTCACCACGGTTAAACAATTTATCCACCACTCATTTCTACCTCATTATAATTTCAACAACTTATAATTATATTCGAACAAATAATAAGAACCGATAGAAACTAAAAAGTAATGGTGTCGTGTGGTCGTACACGAAAATTATAATGAAGAACATGCATGCATGTAACAACACATTAGAATAAATCACGCTTCCAAATACAATTTCTTGCACAATAATGGGGTTAACAACTTAACATTATTTCTTCATACGAACAAGAGATGGAATAATGAAATAAAATTCTGCAAACGACGAAATATCAAACTCAAATTAGCCGTAGCGCATGTTAGCCAAATAATTAATTAATCAGTTCACGAAACGGCAGTTCCTCCTTATCTCTCCTTGTTTGCCAGTAAGAACATCAATGGAACCCATGCGCACCATAGCAGCCCCAAACTTTTTCGCCCAAACATTACCAAACTTAACATTGTTCACAACCAATTTCCTAGTCAAGGGACTGTCCAACAATGTCTGGTCCGAAGTCAATAGCCCCCTACGACTCTGCAAATTTGTATAATATTTATTATCCAATCGGGTTGGAGTTTGAATATCCAGACTCACAATCGGGTCAACCACGTTATTCGCCGGCAGAGGGCATCTGGTTTTCAAGAATGCAGCATAAGCAGAATCCAAGGAAGGGTCTTGTGGGTGTGTTGCATTGAAACTGTAAAGACGGTTCGAAAATGAAGAACAGTGAGAGACGCCAATGGAGTGTGCACCAGATAGTGTAACCATTTCATCAAGTGACAGTCCCTTTCTTTTGAAGTTGTCTTCAAGTTGCTTGGCATTGAAGAAAGGTGGAGGAAGTTCTTGTAAAACTTCGGAGCTTAAAGAAACACGGCCATCACGCCGTCCCGCCGGCACATCATACCAAATATTTCCAGCTTTAAGGGCACTATCACGAGCAGCAAATGCAAGAATATCTGCACATGAGACTGTTCTTGGGCATAAAGTCTCTATTGTAGCTTTTGCTTGGTCAATCACCTCGAACCCCCGGAGGCTCGGGTTATTCGCCAAGTTATCTTTCTCCGCGACTGGTTTTCCAAGAACTGAATCCAGCAATACTGAACCATCACAACCCTGAAATACAAATATGAACAGCATATGAGAAAATTATACGAGTAGCTGACAAAGCAGAGCCTGAATTGCATAAGTACGTACCCTGACAAAGCAGTCATGGAAATGCATTCTAATGAGACCAGCAGCTATTCCTGGATTGAGCAACACGGCTTCATTCACCGCAATTCTTACAATCTTCTCAGCAATTGGACATGTTTTTGCGTAAAATCCGATTTTGAGTGGTGCTACTTTGGCCGGCCGTGCATGCTTAGGTTTAGCCAAAGCTGGTTCGGAAAGAAAGAACACAACTAGGCAAAAGAGCAGTAAAACTGCTGCAAACTTCGAAATTTTGACATTCATCTTCTTCTTTTTCGTTTTTTCGCGAAGGAAATTTTAACTTGAGAACTACTTAAGAAGATTGAGATGGATATTGAATTGATAAGAGACGAGAATTTATAGAGCAGTATTGATTAATAGTTTTGATCATAGAAATATTAACGCGTACAGACGTGCCAACTGCAATTTTTGAAGCTTTCTTGAGCAAATCTATATTAGAAAAAATCATTCACTCTTACAGGTTACATCCTTTCGTCTTCCTCCCATGGGACAGCTCATTTTTCTCTTTATCTCAATCATTTGAAAGTTTCTTGTTTAATTATATATTGTAGATAGGCTATTAATAATTTGTTTTGGTGGATTTGGTTGGTTTGACTTTCTCCAAATGTCATATCTTTTTGCAGTATTGAGTTGTACATTTTGATTTCATATTTAATTACGAGGAATGTGTCAAGAGCATGATTTAACAAATCTCATTAACAATCGAATGAGCATACTCAAGATTTATTACTAAAAGGAAAAAGATACACATTCAGGCCCTGGACTGACAAGGGCGCAATATACACCCATCAATAGGGAGCGCCAAATGGCACTTTGGATGTCTAGGGCCCCCATGTGGCCCTGGACGTCAAGGACGGCTGTTACTAAAATTAACGGGGATTAAACATAATATTAGTTGAATTTTATTAAACGCTATGTTCGAAAGTTCGTACGAGTGAAACTTTATGCATGTTGATTTTCTTAATTAAGATCCCGTTTGGTACCCCTTTTTTTAAAATGCATTTTTCTGTCTCTTTTTTTCAACCACACATTTTTTGTTAAAATAATATTACACGTAAATCAAAAACTTTTCTTTATTTTTCAACCACACATTTCCTATCAATTTACTATTCAAAAATACAATTTTACGTAAAAATATCTTCCAAACACCTTCTAAATCACATTAATCCTTGAGGACGCACAAGTTATTAGTCATAAAACAATATTTCACGAGAAAGGTAAATTATTAGATAATTTCTGTGATAGACGAGAGGTTTCACCCTTGGGGATTGTTTGATGATGTTAAGTTTTAATAAATTTTGATAAAAATTAATTTATATATGGATTAAAAAGTTGACAAAAATTGTGAATTTTATAAAATATGCGTTAAAATTAAAATTTATCCAATTTAAAAATTGATAATTTTTTTTTACGAAAACAATCATTTATTTAAAATAACAGTCCAGCTGAATGACAATACATACTCCCTTCATAAACCTTTGATGGCGTTGGCGAAGATAGGTGAACGACAATTTTGACTTTATTCATGACCTCCCGTCAAAAGGACCTTACGTACCGAAACTTAATTTCATTTGATTGAAATAGAACTGTAACACAATTGTGTAGGATTGTACATAATTGTATAAGATCGCATGGGATATGATTAGGAGTGAACTACGGTTTGAAAAGTTCGCAATATTTTTTCAGATCAAACCACATAAAGCGGTTTTTTCTAAACATAACCAATTCAAAATTTTATTTATTTATTTATTTTTTGGTTTGGTTCGATTTAAAGCCATTGTTTAGCCCAAAAAAAAAAAAAAAAAAACATATATCGAACAATTTACATCATAAATATTAATTTAAAATCTCACATTTAAGCATAAATATTAGTATTATTACAAACATTACAAGCCAAGCTCGACACTTCCAATTTTTGCAGTACAACAACGTGATAGATATATTTTAGTTTTAATCTCTTAGTCATACTAATTGATTCAACATCTTCAATTGTAAATGATTTATCATAGCAAATGTATTCAAATACAATAATACTTTTTACAACTTTCTCAAAACCACCCAATATTTCTACCTCATTCAAATATCGGCGAATCATATAGGTTCCTTGTTACTGTACGACCAATTCCGAGTGCAATTCACTGCATCAGTCATCTTTATACTCAACAAACTTCTAAAGGAATAAAGAATTTAACCACTAGCACCTATGAATATTTGAATGGCTAGCACATCTTTGACAATTTGGAAGATAATCTTCTACTTATTTTGCATTCAATTCCCACCAAAGTAATGTATTGAAAGGTTGGGCGATCAAATCGTTAAAAAATAAATAAATAAAATCTAGCAACTAAGGCCCTATTTGATAGGACTTGAATTTCATGAAAAATGCAAAATGAATTCCAATTTCCAACTTTTCTAGTGTTTGATTAGATTTCTTCCTCATGGAATTAGTTTTCTTGGGAAGGGGAAGGAATTCATTTTCTAAGCTATTGTTCCCCTTTTTTTGGCAATGGAAATAAATTATATCCCTAATTGTAAAAAATATTTTCTTTTAGACAACTTCCATGTAAGACAAAGTCAAACGAAAATCAAAAGATAGATAATTTTTTTATTTTTATTTTTGCAATGAAAACAAATTTTATCCCCAATATCAGTAAATTCTATCCCTTTAATTGACAATTTTCAAGTAAAACAAAGCCAAAAACACTTTTATTTCAACATTTTTCATGTGGAAAATTATACTGATCAAAAACAATAATTGAAGATTCCCGGTCAAACAATTTCTAGGTAATTCAATTTCCTGGAATTCGTTTTTTTTTTCCACTAAAATTTTATCTTTGCAATCAAACGGACCCTAAATTTAAAAATAGTTAATAAAGTGAACAACTTGGCCAAGAAATTAAGATGCAAATCAACAAAGAAAAAATGTTGTTCAGCAAAAAATATAAGGAAGCTCAGCATAAGCCAGAACAAAATAACAGAATAACCAATAAATTATAGCAAACAATAAAAATAAAAATAAAACGATAAACTAACTAGGAAATTGAGTTCAAATTCAAGAAATTATTAGTAGAAGAAAAAGAAATGACGTGAACGTGAATTAAAATCTAAATTTAATTGTAACGAGCATCTAATAAATATGGTTCAGCAGCGTCATTCAACACTTCGGTCAATTTGAGGGTTTTGCACGACGGATAGATAATTGGGTACACATTTAATTAATTAATTGGTATAGATTATTGCCTAATTGTGCATTGAGCTTAACCGGGGATGAGCCTAATATGGATATGTCTTTTTAATGGGAAGGTGTTTAATTTTTATTAGGTTGAAATTTTTTTTTATTATAATTTAATTATTTTCGTATTCTTTTAGAAATGGTTTGATGATTTGAAAAAATAGAAACATAAATCAAACTTCTTCAAAATGATTTGGCTCTCACAATTAAAACATTGATGGACCCATGTGGACTCAATTCAATAGATTCAAAAAAACGATTTCGATTCGATTTTCTAATGTGATGATTACGATGTTCAGCCCTCCTATCAATTTAGTCTCTGTTTGGACCCCTTTCTCTTTCATTTTTTTCTCTATTTTATTTTCAATCACAAAATTTTTCATAAATAATATTACACGTAAATCGATTTTTTTTTTAACCACACATTCTCAAAAAAACACTATTCCAAACATTAAAATTTGAACAAAAAGGGGGCCAAATGGGGGCTCAATGTTTTGAATTGTTTTACCTAAAAAAATAAAGCAAAAATTATATTGGATGTGTGTATCCCGCGGGACACCTGCTTTTTCCCTCTAAATCGAACATCAAAGAAATTGATTTTCCTACTCCCTATTGCCTCTTGGTATTGACATTGATGGTGGTAAAAACATTTCTTCTGGGTTTTAAGTAATTTTTTCTTCATTTAAAAGCAGTGTCCACCATAGTTTTTCCTTTTTGATTCACATGTATAATTTCTCGTCTTCTTAGTGCTTATTGGCTGAACACATGCAAAACTCAATTTTTTTTTTTTTTTAAATCGTGAAATTGTTATAAAAAATTTTAATTGAGAAAGTGAGGGATGAAGTTAGTTACCTTATTTCAGATTTTCAAAAAGAAAATTTGTTTTTAGCTAGTTATTGACTTCCAGTAGTTAAGGGACTCTTCTCCTCGAGTTTCGATTTTGTATTTTTGAATTTTGAATTCATTTTGGATTTTGTGTTTTAAGTGCTTGTTTTGAAATTGTTGAAAATGCGTTCTTTTTGCCAATTTGGAAAACTTTTTTTCAAAACATAAAATAGGATCGTTTACTTTAAAATTTTGAGAATACTTTTTTATAATATTTTATAAACAGAAATCTAATTATTCAATAAATTTTAAATTTTAATGTTAATATAGTATCAAATGACATATAAATTTTGAAGTTCGTGAATTTTGAAAAAAAAAAATTCCAAATATAAAATAAACAACTAAATGAATATAGTGTTAGCAGTATGATTGAAGAGAAATTGAAATTAAATTGTATTGAATCTTTACTGCTATAAGCTGTACTGATGGCCTGTGTATATAGAGGCCAAAGATTATTCTAGAAGAATATTTACATGCAATGCACATTTACATAACCGAAAATACAACAAATTCTCTAACTAATACTGGCCACCGAGAAGTCCCTCCAAGCTAGCATCTACAATCACTCAAGAAAAGTCCCTCCAAGCTAAAACTATTTTACAAACTAGTCTACATCAAAAGAGAGCCTTCAGTTCGACTTCGTAGATAGCCACTATCCACTTGTAACAAAGATGTGGCCAATAGCTGTAAACTATTATCACATGGGACTAAAACAATTTGGAAACTCTACTTATGGCACTAAAATAATTTGAAGATATTGCTATAAACCTCATTTTCATCTCTAGAAAACTCTAGACCCTGTTCATCAGGCAGTAGTAATCAGAAGACATAATTCGGACTGGATCATCGGTACTTATATCTATCCCCTCTTTCATTCAACAGTAAAAAAATAAAACCAACATTCCCCCTTCTTTCGACGCCCTATTAAGCTAACAGAACTTGGTGTCAATTGAAATAACTTAGTAACAAGATAATGGAAAAACACTCCATGCGGCTAACCCAGGCAGGTTCTATAGATAACCAACAAGCAAAATGTGACAACGAGAGGTCAAATAGACAACTAAATAGGTTCTATAGATAACTGACAAGAAGAATGACAATGAGAGGTCAACGAAACACGGGTTATCAACCCTGTAACACATTCTCTGCCACGTGAAAACAAATTTGATCAAGCAATTGATCTATTATCTCAAAGGTAATTTATTGCACTTTAAATATCAACTCCAGATTACCCCAAAT